GAGTCGAGTAGAGTCAATGGTAGGAGCTGCAATTCGACGGTTGCAACAGCGGTGGTGCTACTGGTGCTTTTGTTTGTCGCAGAGCAGGCAAGTGCGAAGGTGAATATAGGATGCTACCTTTCCTGCATTTTCGGCTGCGATCCGATGCGTATATTCCAATGCACCAGCAGATGCAGCGAGGAATGCTCTTCCTACGCTGTTGCGACGGATAGTCGTAGTGGGTTGGTGAATGCTGAACTGATCGAACATTGATTTTTTATGATGATCTATAAATAAAATGTTGTTGATAGAAAATTGTTTTAATAAACAAAGATCTATGACTTTGATCTCAATAAAATACAATTCGATTTTTAAATATTTATTTTATATTACTCAATTCCAATTCTTATAATAAAAATTTAGTTTAATTTTATAAATAAAGGGATGAACCTAAGATTCTAGGCCGAAATCATGATAACATATTATAAGATTTAATATGGGTAGTAATGAAATGAGATATCATTCATAAATATCTAAAAGGATAAAATACATCATTTTTCACTGAACTATATTATCTCTTATATTTTATTAATCACACTCTCAATTTTTCTAATTTACTCGTTAAATTCTCGAATTACTCTAATTTTTCTAATATGACATGGCCTTTTTTATTATCATTTTTACCTTTCAATGTTAAACGTTTATACTCTTGGTATCTATGGTGCTCGAACCTTAGTTCTCAAGAGATAACAACAATTCATTTACCACGAAGTTTACTTAATTCGTGCCTATCTAAAATGATAATTCAAATACTTGAGGACATATTATGAGCTTGTGTAATTGTGTTTGATGGATCTCGAGAGAAATATTTACCTTTAGTCGAATTTACTTACAACGATAATTGTTAAATTAGTATTTTGACGACTCCTTAAGAGCTATTATATAATAAAATCATTGGACCCGACTTCATTTGACAAATGCTTTCGAAACTCTCACTTTAAATTATATAAATTACTCTTTTAGCCTTTTTCGAAAATCTCAATTTAATTTAGGACTTCCAAATTTGTTATAGTTGAGAATCTAGTTAAAAAATTAATCTACGATGATTTAAGTGACGAGTGTTTAAATTTGATTCTGATTCAAGTCTATTTAATTTTAGTCGGTTGATGTGATATCTCTAACTTGATTTCTTAATAAATTAAGTCAAGGGTGTTACAACACCTTAAAAAGTATTTTATATTAATGTGAAGATTTGATTGTTACTAAAAAAGCTAGTAATAGTTTTTAGGGTAAACTACACGTTCAATATCTCAACTATCATTTTTGTTTTAATTTGGTTGCCCAATTATTATTTTTCTCAAAATCATACCTAATGTTACGTTTTGGTTTCATTTTGATCACCCGTCGTTAAAAAAATTAACAGAACTACTGATGTGACATTTGTTTAAAAAAATTCAATGATGATGCTACATTACCTTATGGTGACACGTCAATATCACTGTTAATTTTCTAACGGTAGGTGACCAAAATGAAACCAAAACATATTTTAGATATAATTTTGAAACAAAAAATAATTAAAAACTAAAACAGAACAAAAGCAATAGTTGAGGTACTACACATAAAAGAAAAAATAAAACTTAATTAATTAATAAAGAAGGAAAACCCAAAAATCCTTTTTTAAAGATGAAGATATAAAACATGAGGATATGTATACCCATTGATTACAGAATATTTGTTCTCTGTTTTGAATGGTAAGAAAATTCACTCATTCCATGTATGATAATTCACTTCATTTTAATTCATATAATATAATTTTATTTTAGTTTAATCATAAAATACGAAAAATATCGGTGTAAGATTTAGAGGGATGGACGTAAGATTCAAGGTTGAAGCACTTGGATTTATACGAGAGCTTGACTGCTTGAATTTACTTTTCTTGAGAGACAAGCTAGGTTTTAGAAGTTCGGATTAAAAGTTTAAATTACTTGGGAAAATGATTAAAAATTTGTATATAAAATTAATATTTTATGACAATTTAATGTCATATTTGAATTATTGAGTTTTGATGGTTAAATCAAATTAAATCGAGTTTAAATTAGTTTGATTTAATTTTCGTTAACAAAAATATAAAATTAATTTACCTCTTTTTCAAGATTCGATTTTCACAGTTGGATCTCATGTATGTGACCATCAAACTAATTTTCAGTTATATCAACGAGTGCCCTAACAATCCAACATCATGTTCGGATTCGATTCAAGTTGATTGGATCTAATTATATTAGTAATTTACTATATCGTATTAAAACAATAATGAAATATTATATATGAAAAATAAAATTATATCCATTTAAAGTAAAGAATTTAAATTTAACTACCTCATATATCAATGAACTTTAATCTCTCTCTTATTTCACTCACCGTACTTTCAAAATTTTCAATTTACTCACTGAAATTTATAGATTATTTTTTTGGTCACTCAATGATGACATGAATTATTTTATTATTCTTTCATATGACATGTAATATTTTTATTAATATTTTAATATTACATAGGATTATAATAAAATAAATAAATATATTAAATTATATGCAAAATTCTAAATCTCCAAATTATACCCATCATATGAAAAAAATAAAAAATAATCTATATCATCATTGAGTGGTCAAAAAAATTCAATCTATAAAGTTCAGTGAGTAAATTAAAAAATTTGAAAGTACGATGAGTAAAATAAGAGAGAGAATAAAGTTCAGTGATAAAGGATGTAGTTTACCCTTTAAAAAAATAACCGACGCAGAGAGATGTACCCATTAATTACGAAATATTTTTTTGTTTTGAATGGTAAGGAAATTAACTCATTCCATATATGATGATTTGTCAGTTACGCCACATTACTACACACACATATATATGCAGTCTAGTTCATCTGAACAACTAAAATTTGTAGCGACATTAACAACACAGGCATGGAGTCGAGCAGAGTCAAAGGTAGGAGCTGCAGCTTGAGGGTTGCAACGGCGGTGCTGCTGCTGGTGCTTTTGTTTTCCGCAGAGCCTGCAAGTGCGGAGGTGAATATAGGATGCTACCTTTCCTGCGTGTTCGGCTGCGATCCGATATGGATATTTAAATGCTCCCGCAAATGTCGCCACAAATGCTCTTCTTACGCTGCTGCGACGGATAGTCGTACTGGGTTGGTGGATGATAAACTGATCGGACATTGATTTTCCATGACGATAGATGAATAAAATGATGATGATAATAAACTATGTATTCTCTATGTTTCTCCATTGTTGTAAATAGAAAAAGTCCACGATTTTAATATCAATAAAACTCTATTCTATTTTTGAATATTTATTTTAGATTACTCAATTTCAATTTCAATTTCAATTCATGTAATGTAATTTTCTTTTAATTTAATCACGACATAAAAAATATCAGTGTAAGACATAAAGAGGCGAAATCATGATAAAATTATAAATAGTAATGAAATGAGTATGAATGTTCAAAACTGATCGAATATTGATTTTTCATAACGATCGATGAATAAAATGACGATAATAATAAATTATGTGTTTTATTCTTTTCTTCCCACTGTGATAAGCAGAGGAGGTCCACGACTATGATCTCAATAAAATAGAATTTGATCTCCGAATATTAATAATGGATTACTTAATTTTAGTTCGTATAATTTAAATTTATTTTGAATTTTTTAATAGTATGGGTGATTACAAAGTAATATATCTTTAAAATTTTCTTATCTAATTGATAGCACACATCCTGCAAACGCGCGAACCTATAATCTCTATAGAGAATAACGTTCTTTTTAACCATTAAAATTAATTGATGGGTCTACATTTATTTTAATGTAATTATAACATATGAAAAATATCAATATAAGATATAGAAACGAAATCATAATAAAATTACAACTTTATATGTTTCTCGAACACTTCATTCTTTTTTGAAGTTTTTTTTTTATGTTTTTAAAATTTATTGAATAGTCTCAATAATTAAAGGCAGTGTTATTTTTTTAGGGTTCAGATTCAAGGTATGTGCACATTATCAATAATTAAGAGAAGTTATGAACATATATCACTTTATAATCACATATTATTCAAAAAAAATAATATTGTTGTTTGACACTTGTGGTTGAAATATAAATATGGAAATATGACATACATATATCCTTCAAATATATGATTTTTTTTTAAATCTGTAACCATAAATATTTAGGAAACATAAAATAAATTTAAATATATAATATATTTCATTTTAGATTTGACATTTACTATTCGATCAGTCAAGCATATCTAATTATATAATTTAATACTCAAAATTTAATAAAAGAATGAATCAAAACGTAAAATTGTTCATTTTAAAAGTTTTAACCGATGCATATTCGATACCCATAATTACGGGAATTTTTAAATTTGTTTTAAATGGTAAGGAAATTCACACATTCCATATGTGATAATTTTCCAGATATACTGCAGCGTGTGTCTATATATATATACATGAACAATTAGAATTTGTAGCAGTATTGAAGTCATACAGGCATGGATTTGAGCAGAGGCAAAGGTAAGAGCTATGATGCGATGGTTGCGATGACGGTGGCGATACTTTTGTTTTTTGTCGGGTCGGCAAGTGCGGAGTTGGACCGACCGTGCTTCAATAGCTGTCTGTCCGGTTGCGATGTGCCGCCGCAGTGGATGCAACAATGCATCAAGCAATGCCATAACCAGTGCACTCATGACGCCGTTGCGACGGATAGGCAGAGTGGGATGCGCGGACGATAATCGGTCGAACATTGATTTTGCCGGTGATTATAGAATAAAATGCAGGTAAATGATAATAAAAGGTATATTCTCTATTTTGTTTTTCAATATGATGAACTAAAAAGATTGATGACTTTGATCTTAAAACATTACATTTTGATTTTATTTTCTCGTTTTAACTGCAACAATTGATAAAGAGTGGACGTTGGGTTGAAGAAACATTCTCTTATAGTGCAGCATTCCAAATTGTTCTTCAATGATACACCAACTCTATATCTGTATGTATCTCTAGCTACGAGAGGGGTCTCATTACTCGACTCGACGTTTGACTCAACTCAACTCAAACTTAAATGCAATAACCAGTAGAACATATTAAAAGCTCTTCAGGGGCCTTGCATGTTAACAATCACAAATTTTCCAACACCACGTTACATTATCATATCATTGACTGGTTCTTTGTCCGTTGTCCATCTTCCCGGAGCTGCTAATGCGAGTCTTGAGCTAATGATGAACCGCTGCTGCTCTATCCGACATCAGTTTTACATAGGGGACACGATGCATTGATTTTCAACCATTTGTCTACGCAATCAACATGGAAGACATGGGTGCACGGTAGCTCCCTCAGCTCGTCATTTTCCGTGAACTTCGTCAAGCAAATACAAAAACCTGCAACATAACGAGTTAGCAAGCTGTATCGTTATTAACCCGGATCAGCAAAAGTCGGATCTCACACAATGTCATACATCAATCTTTTCAAGTCGAATTTAAGCTGAAATAGCTTGGATTATCAACTGAGCAAAATTTGAGTTTCTAATACTTAAATTCGAGTATCTAATGCAAGTAAAATGGTTGCAGTTAACATGCAAAGAGATCAATAAATTTTCAGTAAATTGTAAGTGTCTAACTTACTGCATCTTCTCCGGATATCACGCGTTCCTTGGCCGTCCCCACACCAATGACTCCGCCTTCACCAGTTGGATTTTCCTGATCGTTGTTTACGTTTCCAGTTTTCTTGGATTTAAACTTAAATGTTGGCAATGCGTTTATAATTTCCCTGGTGGCTCCTCTAGTTGGTGAAAAATCCTCTCGGTAACCAAGGACAGAAATTATACATGGCAAACAGCAACAAATCGTTGCACATAGTATGAATGGCATGGCATATCCGATACAGCTAAAAGTAAGGAACACTATAAATAACCTGCAATAAAATCGATAAAGAACTCATAAATTGTAACGAAATTGCGAGTCTCGGGTCAAAAACAGAGCAACAGATATGTTTAGTCCAAATTGTACCTGTACAATTTAGGAGCATCAGATGGAGATGAGTGACCTCCAAATACCCACACATTGCCAACAACAAACCACACCGCGAAAAAACAATCTAGGGCCATTTTGAAATGGTCTGCTAATCCATTGAGCCTGCATATTAGAAGCCAATTCTTCACTCGATGACAACATAATATGATAATATACAGAATATATAGAAACTTTTGATATTTGATAATAACAGCTTATATCATATTATAGGCTATGTTACTCGAACTCAGTGTTAACTTAGGATTAGTAGACCTAAATGGCGACTATTTGCAACTTAATGTTCTATGAATAACTACATTGATCATTGATGATAAGTTCAAGGAAGTTTACGATGCAAAGTATTCGCCCATCCACTATTTGCAACTTTACGATGTTAAAAGTAAGAGCATTATGGAGTTTCATTAACCCAAAAGTAGACATAGAGTGGTGACTGATAGTGATAACAAATGTAAACGCACCTTGTACTTAAGGTTCCTGTAACTGGAGTGTTGCTTGTTGCGGGGGCGATGATGTGGTTATTCTCCTCATCAGAAGCTTGAGCAACTGAGATAGCTGTATAGGGTGTAGTTTCACTGGGATTGCTACGAGAAGAACCTTGATGTGAGTGTGTTGAATCTTGCTCAATGCCCAAGTTGCGGTTAAGAAAACGCCAATAAAGAATAGGAAGTGTTGCAACACAACTAGAAGCATAACCAACAATCCATGCAAACAATGGAGCTTGAGGCTTTTCATTTCTAGACAATAACAGTACTACGATAGATGCTATAATCTGACACATAGTGAAAACAAACTCCACAGAAATCCACAATCCGGAATTGAAAGGGCTCCTACGATGTCGACCATATCCATCACTTCTCCTCATGAATGACGAACTCCCAAAGTGCAATCTGTTTGAGAAAGGAGTAGCATTATTAGAAGCCTGTGAGCTGCTTGAAGGTCTATCTTCACTCTGTGTTGAGTTCACTCCAGAATATTGCTCATCCTGGGACGAGCTTGATGAAGCATCATCATCATGCCTTGTGACGTCAATAATGTGGTCACGATCGCTATGACTTTCAACTCGTTCCATTAACAGAGAGTGATGCTCAGTTTGCTGATTGTTTCCTTCGAGAGTGGAACTGTCCATCTAACTCCGTTGACCAAATAAAAAGGTACGAAAGCATTGGTCACATACCGCTCCCCTCCCCGAAACTTGTAAACCCGTCCAGGTATCCTAAAACACTTGGAATTGCAATATCTACAAATCAACTAACTTTGTTCCCTCTTTACCTAAAAGCTACAACGAAATCCAGCATACAAAAAATCATTACACCAATCATATGAATAAAACCCATGCCTTAAAATTCTAGAGGCAATATATCCTGTATGCATGTAGTTATAACATGGTTATGAGACATCACATAACTGGTAACCAAAATCGAGCAACATCAGATCACCCAATTGATGCATTAACAACAAAGCAACTACAGCATAAACAGAGTAGCATTTACACCAACCCCGACCATCTCGACTCCGAAAATTAGTCGAGGCCGAGTGTGGCTACATGTGGTTTTAGACCAAGAAAATAAATACTAGTAATACATTAACCAGACACTTTATGAGGTCAACCCCCTACATAAACAAAACAAGCTAGATCTTTAAACAGTAAAATACAAGATCTGAAGAAAAGATCTGATCTTTCCACACCAAAAATTCATAAATGAAAACCCAAGCCAAAAAAAATCAGACTTCTTCAAAAGATCTTATTGAAGTGATCTAAACATCACATTTCCAGGCATAATTTTCATAACCCAAGCATAATATATTCACAACAACTTAACTTCAACTGAAGAAACAAATAGTTAAGCAATTCTTTTAAGAAATCTAAGATCAACCCACTAATTAACTAGAAGAAAACTGAAAACCCAGTACCAATTTCGCAGAACAAAGATAAATTAAAAGAAATTCAAGAACCCAAATGAATATTACCTAAGAATTTGAATAATCTGATTGTATATGAAAGAAAATCATAAAGTGAAGTGACAATAAACAAACTGATAAAGATTTCCAAAAACCCACTTTTGTTTCCACACATTTCTTCCATTTTCTCGATAAAAATATAGCGTCAGCTGCTCTGCTCCATTGTTTACGCCAAAACAGAGAGAGCAATCCTTCCTTTTTTTTAGTGGAAATTAAATTATTTGTTTCTCTTTTTGGTTGGTAAGGACTACGAACAGAGACAAATACAAAAATTTAGAAAATTCGAGGACGGTCCGATTGGGAGGTCTCACATCATGGATCTAACGGTGTATAATTAACCGCGTATTTACTTTGTAATAACACCAGCGTTACTGTATCGATCAGAATGTTGGACAATCAAGAAGGATCACGTAAGGAGGATGGAGGCCGCAAAAATGAGAATGCTTCGATGGGCATGGGGTAGAACTCTGTGGGACATGACACCAAACTCTGCTATTATGATGTCCTTGGGGGTAGTGCATGTATCCGAAAAACTGAGAGAGGGAAGACTACGGTGGTTTGGGCATGCCCTTAGGCAACAACCGTCGGATGCGGTCAGGAGAGTAGAGTTAATCACAGCCGACGGTGCCAGAAAGAGAGGACGACCAAGGATGAAGTGGGAAGACTGCTTAAAATTTGATTTGAAAGATTTAGCCCTTATCGATGACATGACCTCTTATAGAAAAGTATAGAGACTTAAGATCAGCGTAGTCGAGTAGTGCGGGTCACAGCCATATGGTGTAACATTAGTGTCTTCTTTTTAATGCATTTATAGTAATTTTCATAACTTATACTTTTTATACGTTTATGTCATTGTAATTTATGAAGGCTTAGAATTAGGGTAGCGGAGTAGTGTTGCCTTAGTTTAGGTTTTAACCCATTTGACATTATTCTTTATCGTAGCTTGTTATTGTTGACTTCTGTGTATCATTCTCTTCATGCTTCCTATTTTTAATTTTAGTCGGACCTTACATTTCTGTCTATATGCAGAGATTTTTACACAGGGATTTATTTGTGAGGATTACTTCCCATTAAAGTCGCGCATATGAAGACTGTTCAACTATTTATTTATTTATATATACATGCATTACATTTTATCTTTATTTTTAATTTTCTAACTGTCGGAGGTCTCCCACAGAAACTACTCTTAACTTGACGTTGGGGACAGCCTACTGCCCTACCTTCCCCTTATCCCATTGCATATGAGAATAGGGTTTTGTTGTTGTTTAATTAATCTTATATAGTTATACACATACACATCTTCTAAAATATGGTAAAATATAATCCGAAAATTATTTAAGTTATATTTTTTAAATGTTAACTGGCGTGTAACTCAGAAGGTCATCAAATTTTAACGAAAAATAATAGATTTGAAACATATGAATAATCAAGTGATCATTTTGTAACTTTTAATAATCGAGTGACTCAACAAAATAATATCTTATAATTTGGAGATAGACATATAACTTTTAATAGTTTGAAAACTCAATAAAATGACACTTTATAGTCGGAAAAATTATGTACTTATTTATTAATTAAACTTTTGTCTTTGTTTTTGTGTTTTGTATGTATTCTCAATAAAACCGTACGAAATCTTTTTTTAAAAGAAAAAAAGTTGTGTACTTTACTCTTATTTTTATGTCTAATTAATTAATTTATTTATATAATCCATTAGTACTTTGAATAATCTCAATGTATACAAAATAATATTTATTCAAAAATTTTAATTATTTAATATTAAATATTTTTATCACTATATAATGTTTAAATTCGAAATCTAAAAAGAAACTAATCAAAGGAAAAATCAAATCTCATCCTATTGTAATATTGAAGCAATGCGCATCGATTTGTGAGCCAATAATATCAAGATAAAGATTTATATAGCAAGCCCCGTTTATATATTGATCCATTAAAGTATTGTTTATCATGTATTTTCTAATCGTCGAGATATTTCAAATTATCTTATCAATTTTAAAAATTTTAGTTGAGATTTTAAATTATTATAATCATAATAGTTAAATGCTAATGTATTGTTTTATATACAAGTCACGTTACTCAAACTCCTTTCTATCTTTAAATCAAAGTATATTGGACGTTTTAAATATATTTAATTTAGGCAAGTTTTCCGCAAAATCAACCTTATAATCATTATTTCCTTGTTAAACACCATTTTAACTTTATTTTTTGATCTAACACTCTTTGTAAGAAGGCGCAACACATGCGACACCTGACAGAAGGTGCGATCTTGCACAGCACCTTGTAAAACGTGTAAAAAATCAGGTGTTAGTTTTGTAAATAATTTTTATATAGTGCCTAATATGTAATTAATTTATATTAGGGTGATATTTGTGTAAAAATGCCAATTTTATTTTTTTGTGATATTATTTTTTAACGACAGTTAATAATATTTATTGATTTTTAGAATTAATTATTTAAAAATATTAAAATATTAAAATAAACTTTTAATTACAATTGAGAGATCAAATGAATTATTATTCATTTTTTAAAAAATCAATAAAAATACAATAAAAAAAATTAAAAGTGAATAAAATTCAATAAAAAAAGAATGTAAAGATAAAAAAATATCACCTCTTTATTTAAAATATTCTTTCTAATATTAATTTTAAAAAATATAAAATCAAAATAATTTTATTAAAATGAATAAACATTATCAACTTTTGTTAAAAAATAATAATTAATGAATAATAATTCATTTAATCCCTCAATTGTAATTAAAAGTTTATTTTAATATTTTAATATTTTTAAACAATTAATTTTAAAGGTCAATAAATTTTTTAAAAATATATGAAATTTATAATTTTTTAAATTATAAAATATTTACCATCATTATCATCATCATTTTGTAAAAAAATACTAGTTATAAATTTTATAAATTTATTCATATTTTAAAATACTTACCCTCAAAGTTTTCATATATTAGATTATACATATTGTGTATTTTTATGCAAAAATCAAAATAATTTTATTAAAAATAAATAAACATTATCAACTGTTGTTAAAAATAATAATTAATGAATAATAATTCATTTGATCTCTCGATTGTAATTAAAAATTTATTTTTGATATTTTTATATTTTTAAACAATTAATTTTAAAAGTCAATAAATTTTTTTAAAATATATAAAATTTATATTTTTTAAAATTATAAAATATTTATCATCATCATCATTTTGTAAAAGAAATATTAGTTTTAAAACTTTTATAAAATTATTCATATTTTAAAATAGTTACCTTCAAAGTTTTTCTATACTAAATTATACGTATTGTGTAATTTCTTGCAAAAATCAAAATTTATCGAGTTATAAAATAATTTGCAAATGAATATTTGAAGATTTTAATGTAGAAAGTTTTTTTCACACAAATATTACCCTTATAGAAATTAATTACATACTAAGCATCATTTTAAAAATATTTATAAAATTAGTACTCGAATTTTTTACATTTTCACAAGGCGCTCACACGTGGCGCCACATCAACGTAAGGCGCGGTGCAAGGACCGTGCCTTCCTACAAAGGGTGTTAGATCAGAAAATTGAATCTAAATGGTGTCTAACAAAAAAAAAATAATGATTATAAAATGATTTTTTTCGAGAAAATCGACTTTATTTTATGTATTTTTTAGTATATTGAAGATAATATTAATAAATTATATATAATCGATTTATGTCAAATGTCAAACTTGATTTGACATAAAACATATTTAATATATAGATCAAATTACAAATATAAAGGCAACTATTTATTAACAATTTAATTTGACGTGATATATAAAAAAATCAATATTAATAAAATTTAAGATAATTATTTTTTTGTCCACATATTTTCAACATCTTAATGACACTTAAATTGTCAAAAAGACACAACTAATACGATATTAATATTTTAAATTTTAATCAAAATTATTTAAAATTTAAAGGTTAATTGCACTAATGAAGCCATCTAGTAGTTAATAAATTTATTATTATCCCTTGAGATTTCAATTTCGAGCATCGTATATGCTTAGGACATGAGCGGTAATTGTCAATGATTGAAAATCTTAGAATAGATACGGTCTTACATATACTCCAAATTTATCAAAATAAAATATTAAAAGTTAATTTAGAAGGGATATCTTGTATAATTAATCTAATAAAAATGCATTGTAAAAATTCTAGTATGAGTATTTGACTCGAACTTGATGAGTTTGAACCCAACTTGATTATGATTTTTTTATATAAAAAATTTGAATTTATGTCAAATTCAAGGTGAAAAATACATGATCCGACTTGATCCATAAATACTAGTATAATTTATTTTTATATATTTAAAGATAATTACTATAATATCTCTCTATTTCTATTTTTAATTAGATTCATATTATACATAATGAATATATATATATCAGATCATTTGCGGATACAAATTTTTATCTTAAAATCGATTTAATTTTAAATTAAATAAAATTTTCTTAAAAGATGACAGATGAAAATATACTATATTCAAATTATTTTTTATAAAAATACTTAAATTAACTTTTAGTGAACGAAAAATCTAATTTAGTACGACTCATAATCATCTTTACAGATAAGACAAATATCATTCAATTTCAAGGGTCCAATCCACCCACCACTAGCAATATATAGGCAGGAAAATCCTGGTATTTTCATGACGAGAGCAACATGCCTATATAGAACTTCCACATGCTATTACTTTAATAGCTTTAATTAAATGGAGGGCTCCATTCATGATACTCCAAGCCACCGCCGTTCGACACTCATAATTAATCAGTTTGATTTTTTTACTTTTTTATTAATATGAGGTAAATACAATATAATATATGTTTCATTAAATATTCATACCCTTATAGTATTCATGGTACTCGAACACGGAATCTCAAAAAATTACAATCATTCATTTATTATTAAAATTGTTTGATTTGTGCTGAGTTTTAAATATTAATAATTAGTTGTTTTATTTTTTAAAAGTTATAAAGTTAAAATATAAAAACCCGACTATGAACTAATGTCATTCCTAACCTCTGTCCACTTCCGAGCCTTCATTTAAAACTGTTGATATGTAACCAAGACACAGGCCTAACTCATACTAAAGGTTGGGCTACTCAATCATCTGATAAACCCATGTTTCAACATGTGGTATTCCATAGTGTCGCGGG